GAGTATATAAACCCTTCAGTAGCAATGATAAAATAAAAGCTTTCAATAGCATTTACAACTAGAGGCATGCACTCAATCTGAAACTCTAGTTAGAGTGACTCAACACTTGGAATAAGAGAATACTTAATATTAGAATTGATTAAAGACTTCACCAAAAGAAATAAAAATAAGATTCTCAACTTCATATATATGCTTAACATTCAGTATTAGTAGAATAGAAAACACTTAACTCAATATTAGATTGAAAATAAAAATCATGAGAGTAAAAATTGATCAATGTGCCAAGAAAAGGAAATATTGCAAATGAGGAAGGAATATTAAGAACATGAGATAGTCTAAGAAATAAGAAAAAGTTGGGAAAGAGTAGAAAGTAAAAAGAAAGGATCAGATGGTAGATTAAAGGATTGATACCTATCCTATGAAATCTCTAATTTATCTCTATAACTATCTCTATAATAATCAAACTCTTTATCACAATCTGGAATATATTCGAGCTCATAAACATCATCTTCCCATAAACTCAATTCTTAAACATTCTCAAAGAACTAGATTGCATCATCTATAACTTGCCAATCAATATCATAATCATGCTCCACATTAATGAAAGATGGTAGAAGAACACTGAGAATAAGACAAGTCATATAATCATATCCCATAGACATTGAAGACAGCAATATATCAAAGATGGGTGTATCATTAATATGATCACACCCCACAACATCAAAAGCTCAATTCAATGAAGTATTATCAATAGCCTTAAGTGATATATTTCTTAATTGATGATAGTGTGGCATGGTAGAAAAACAGAATGTAATGAAAATTAAAAGAAAGAGCATGTGCTACATTAGGACATGCTACAATCTTTACTTTTTAGGAACAAATTGCAATGCCTCTTACGTCCACTAATATGAGTTTACTTATATACAACAATAGATATAGTTGGAGGTGCTAGATCTCCAGCCTTGTCACTTTATATGTTATAGTACTATAATTAATGTAATATATATTGTGACTACTTGGGATATAGGAATAAATATCTTAATTGGGGTTTAAACCCCTACTTTATACAAGAATGGATGGACTAAATTCAATCCTAAATGGATGATCCATATGTTATAGTACTATAATTAGTGTATTACCTAGCTAAGGTAATATATATATGTATTTATAAACCTTATACCATCCTTCCCTTTGGAAGATGAAAAGGTGATGATAATAAGTCAGGTGGAATATTTGGAGTTTCTGCTGGGTGATTATAAACTACCATAAAAATCTAAAGCTCCCACAAAGCCACCAACAAAGTTATTGATAATTATGATTGAAATAAAATTCAAAGCCATGGCCTAAGCATTAATTGACTAGGGAACCTTGATGAACTAATTGTAACTCCATATATAGTTCCTAAATGCTCAAACCAACCATGTAACTATAATTTTGAACTAGGGAGGTCAGACTCACTCTATTCATCCTCTACATTCTCTTTATCCCCTCTTTGAAGGAAAAAAAATTTTGAAGCACTGGCTCTATTCAAACTCATTACGCTTGTCCTCATTCCACCATCTATGTCTGGCCTCACTCCACTATCATATCCATTTAGCCTTACTATGTTGGGGCCAAATGTTCCGTTTAGATTTGATATACTCGTCCTCACTCCACAATCTATATTGTTTGTCCTCGCTCCACTATCGTATGCACTCATCCTCACTCCATCGTCGAGGCTGGACTCCCGTCTATCCCCTCTACCCCCTCCTCCGAAAAAAAAAAAGTTTGAAATGTCGGGGCAAAAAGGAGAAAACAAGAAAAATTGAGGAAAAACAATTATGGAAGAAGAAAAAGTGGATAAAGAAGCATCGGAAGAAGAATTTACAATAACTGACAATATAGAAATGGGGAAATCAAAAGAACATGTGCTTAAAGCTTGAAAAATAAAGGACTTCCTATTATAAAATACTTTGGCCACCACAATATAAGCAAAAATTTCACACCGCTCAACCTCCTCAATACACAATTTAACACTTGAGATGGGAAAATCAATAATAACATCCACACTCTCAAGGGAATATATAAATTCCTCAACAGTAATAGTAAAGTAAAGATTCTCAGTGGCACTCATAAGTGGGGATATGCATTCAACCTGAAACTTTGGCCAAAGTGACTCAACCCTTGGAACAAGGGAATACTCAACACCAAAACTGTTCAAAGACTTTACCAATGAAACAAAATCAAGATTCTCAACTTCATGGACACACTCAACATCTAAATTAGTATGAGGACAGAAAGCATTCAACTCAACACTAGACTAAGAATGAGAATCATGAGAATCACAAATGATCAACGTGTCAAGAGAAGAAAACACTGCAGATGAGGAGGAAATACTAAGAACATGAGCAAGTGGCTCAGGCCGAGAAATAAGAAAAGGTTGGGAAAAAGAAAAAGGGAAAAAGAAAGGATTAGATGGCAGATTGAAATATTGACACATACTTCGTGAAATTTTCATTTCATCTCCAAAGCTATCTCCATAATAATCAAGCTCATCATCACACTCTGGAATCCACTCGAGTTTGTACACATCATCTTCCCATAAACTTGATCCTCGAACATTCTCCAAGAATTGAATTACATCATCCATAGCTTGCCAATCAATATCACAATCATACTCCACATCAACAAGAGATGGCAGAACGCCGAGAACAAGACAAGTCGTGTAATCATGTCCCACAAAAGCTGAAGACGGCAACACACCAAGGATGGGTGCAACACCAATATGATCACACCCCACAACACAAAAAATTCGATCCAACAGAGTAGCATTAATAGCCTCAAGTGATATACTCCTTGATTGATAACAACGTGGCATTATAGAAGAAGAAAATGCAATGAAGATCAAAAGAAAAAAGCAAATCTAAGCACAACAATAGTTAAAATTCTAAATCTTGCAAAAAGCTAATATAAATCTAGATCTAAAAGAGAATGAAGAAATAAGAATAAAAAAAACACGATCCCGAACACTAGAGCAAAACACTACCAAAAAGTTTTGGCCTTTAGGGACAAATTGCAGTGCCTCTCACCTCCACCAATGTGAGTGCTCGGGATATAGGAATAAGTATCTTCATTGGGGTTTATACCCCTGCTTATATACAAGAATGGATAGATTAAATTCACTCCTAAATGGACGGTTCATTGTAAGCAACCAAAAAGAACAACTTGAAAGACGATCCATAAGATCAAATATAGAGGGAAAGGGCCCATGAACAAGAGTGCACCCCCTTTTCCAATCGGTTAAGGGTCTTGGGATATTTGGGGTTAAACATTATTGAGTTTGAATAGTATTAGGCTGGGTAACCTCCTGGGAAATTCAAATTTAAGAGTTTACATTTGGTATCAAAGAGGTTTCGGATCCGACTCTGTTGGTTGGCTAGGGGAATCACACCATATGTTGATTGACATTTAGCTGGTCCAGTTTACTCCTACTGAGCTTGACCCAAAGGGTAAGGTGTCAAGAGAACAGAGCTCTCGAGAGAGCTGTAACTTTTAGCTTCTATTTATGAAGGTGTGAATTTACAAGGAAGCATAGTGGATTGTAAACAACCAAAAGGAACAACTTAAGAGACGATCCATAAGGGTTTAAATATAGAGGGCAAGGGCCTATGAATAAGAGTGCACCCCTTTTTTCAATCGGTTAAGGGTTTTAGGATATTTAGGGTTAAGCATCCTTGGGTTTGAATAGTACTAGGTTGGGTGACTTCCCAGAAAATTCAAACTCAAGAGTTTACATTCATACATTTATATACATATGTATATACATATATAAACTTTACTCTATATATATATATATATTTATTTATTTATTTATATATTTATTTTATATTTACAAACTTTACAAAGTGAAATTATTTTTTCTTAATGGTGCTCTTTTTTAAAAAAAATTTATGTAAACAAGTTTATGTTTAGTTTTTAGCAAATTAGAAAAAAAAAACTACATATTCAATTTATTAAGTTTACTATATTTATCAGCAGCAAATGATCTTTACAAAAATGTTATATTCAAGCTCCCAAGAGCTGCACTACTAGCCTTATCCATATTAGCCTTATCCATATTTTTGTCAGCAAGCATGTGGAAATTTGCTGGAACGTCTCCTTAAACTCCAATTTGCCATCAGAGTTTTGTTGATCCAAGGATCGCAAAAGTGGCCGCATCGAGCTTCCAAGTGACTCCCAAGATCTTCCAGCACCTCAAATGCACTGCATTTTCCCTCCAAAAAACTCCCGCTGCTGCTCGTAGCCCCGAAAGAACTTGCGCCAGATCCACCCTTCACTGCTCCAGCACTGGAGAAACTCCATGCCAGCCCCCACCTCAACGTCACAAACTCCACCATCGTCGCTCCACATCTCACTGAGGCTCTTGTGATGGAAATCTGCTAAGCTCTGCAGCTTCGATCTTGGAGCTTTGATCTAAGTTTTATAGAAGCACATCGAGATGCACGAACCAGTCTCATCGCTTATGGACTAGAAAACTAAAATTTCTTTGTTTGGTCTGAAGTTCCTCAAGGATCAACAAAAACTCCTACCAAGATTCGACTTAACAGAGATTTCATCTCAAAAGAACTACCATCGATCGATCGAACTGGAACTGGAATTCAAAGACCCAATTTGGTCCTTCGCCAGTGCCTCCTCTTCGCATTGTAGCTGCAAATTCGGAAGGAGAAACGAAAGAAAGAAATAAGTGAGAAATTTTCTCTTGGAGATGAGAAATCTAAAGCGCTTTACCGGATGGTGTTGTTCGTCCGCATTCTTATCCAGTGAGGAATTGGGCGATTCTGGCGGAGCTTCTTCCCCAGCTTCTGCTTGATCCGGAACGTCTTGTGCGACGGCTGCGCGAGAATCGATCAGCGCCACGCTGAGAAAGCGAAACAGAGAATACATACCATGGCGGCAGCACTCGCGGCGGCGACACTCCAAAACCCTAGCCAAGAACCCTAAAATCCCGTTAACTTTGTCTATTAGATGACGATACGAAGGTAAAGTTTTACTCCGAGTGGAAGAAAAGTTCCAAGAGTGGAAGCCCCGATTTGGGGAAGAGTCCATTCCTCCATGGATCACGCTCGAGTTCTAGACGAAGATCACAAAGATGGTCACCGCATTTCCAACAACAACAACGCTATGGCAACAGCAGCAGTGAGCATCACGCCGGTTGTGGTTGCTCTAGTCACTCTCCTCGTCATTCTCTTCTTGCTGGTAAGCTACTACAGACTCCTCGCCTCTTGCTACAAATCCTGGATCACTGGCGACTCTCCCCAAATCCCAGAAACGTCGAATTCTCCTCCGCAAGACCATCAACAAGATCGCGATCCCGAAGAGCAGCAGCAGCAGCCGACCCTCTTGATCCAGACCCCCGCTCTCTCGAAATCGCTCATCCAGAGACTCCCGGTCTACAAGAGCTCCAAGAGCAAGAGAGTGTCGTCCGACTGCGCGGTGTGCTTGGGCGATTTCCAAGAGGGCGAGGACGTCAAGATACTTCCAAAGTGTGGCCATGGCTTCCACGTCGAGTGCATCGATACTTGGCTCTCGATCCACTCCAACGTTTGCCCCCTGTGTCGAGCCCAGGTTGAGGATCCGGCCGCGATCGTTGTCTCGATCGATCCAGCAGCCGCCCAAGTGATCGAAGATGGATCCTCTCCACCTCTAGAAGATCATGCCACTATAGGATCTGATCGCGCAGGAGGAGTAGTAACACCGGGGATAAGGAAGAAGAGCTCCAGTCTCGAGGAAGGGAGCCCCTTGTTTCGATCGATCTTTGCGAGGTTCTCGAGAGCTGGTGCTCCCCCGGATGATCAAAATCCCTCGCTGCCATCGTCGTCGTCGTCGCCAGAGGATTGCAGGATGAGACGTTCGTGGTCGAGTAGCCGTGTTTTTTCGTTTCGAAGGAACAGGCAGCAGCAAAGCGATTCTCTTCCGTAATCGGACTGAACTCCGTGCTGAAAAGTCCGAGTCAAGGTTAAAAGCATTGTTTCTTGTCTATCCTCTTGTTTCTTTTCAGTGTTGTGCTGTAGGTTCTTCTTTTCTATATTTTTTTGACTAAAGAGATAAAGGAGTGAAGTCGTGTGTTTGACCTACAATACCAGTGGAAGGAAGCATTTGCCTTTAATCAATTAACTTCTCCAAGTATATTGACGTAACATATGGAAAGAGTCAAATGATAAAAAAAAAAAAAAAGTGAATTCATAGAAAGAAAAATCAAACAAGTTATTGGTAAAGTATTAGGTTTAAACTTTAATAAATAGCTACACTGTCATCTATAGAAAACACCATTATATCAGCTAGAAAATAGAAAAAAAAGTTTAAATATTTTCAAAAGGAACACTTTTTTAAAGTTAATTTTAAAAAATATTTTAAAGATATTTTTTTGTTATTTTACAGCAATTTTTTTATATATAACAAGAAAAGAGTAATCTGGTAGAAAAAATTAAAAAAGAGTAAATAAACGAATTGAAGTCTCTTGTATAAAAAATGTCATACAAAAGAAAACACTTTATATGGTATTTTTTCATTCTTAAAATTGTTTCTGCAAAAAGGAAAGTGAGTGTAGAATTTGGAAATAATAACACTTTAACTCGTAATGAAATTGGAATGATAATTGATGAGGGAATTCAATTAATACATAATAGAATCTCTACTTCAATAATTCCATATTATCCAAAAAATTATGAAGATATACAAGTTATTAATATTGGTGATAGAGGTAATATTCTAATAACTTTTCAACGCATGGATGGTGAAACTCCATATTGTTCATCTGGACAATCTTCAATTAGTAAAAATGTTACTGGTACTTCTATGAGGCATGCAATAAGTAATTTAATGAATAAATATAGAGATGATATAGTTAGTGCTTCTTCTGATAGTTGCCGAATTACATCTAGAGTATATCAACTTGAATATATTTTAATTCAAAAACAATATTATTTGTTTTCTTTTGATAAAATAAATACATATAATAACTCTTATTCTCCTTACAAAATTTGTGATACTACTTTAACTACTTTAAATGCTGGATTTAAAAATAATTATCTTTACAAAGGCCAGTTTATAACATCCCCAAATCGTAAAAATTTATTAATATTAGAATCTAATTGTCAACTTGCTCTTTACTCTGGAAAGTATTTATTATGGAAGTCAAGTAATAAAATAGATTATATTGGTGAATGTTTAATTATTCTTCAAAATGATGGAAATTTAGTTTTATATACTGAGAAAAAAATTGCAATTTGGTCTAGTAACAATATTGTTTAAATTGTCTTATTTTTACATTTTTAACTATACAAAATGATTGTAATATAGTTGCATATGAGGCAAAAGCACCAAATAAAGTATGGTGGACAACAAATACAAATAACCATTTTCTCTGTTTGAGATAATTATAATTTATAATGGTAATTATAAAACATTAAAACCAACATTTTTGCTTAAACTATAGAGCACAATTCAGAAAGAAATTGAAATACATTGATCCACATGTCTATCACTAAAAAAGAAAATACTCCAGCTCTTGCTAACCAAACAAATAGCAAAGTTCATCTTAAAAATAAGATTAGTATTAAACCATATCTTAGCACACCAAACTTATAAAAGAGAGTGTTGATGGTTTTGGTGTTACTCTAGCTTTAGCATTTACTTTGCAGGCCCTCAGTGATAACTTGGCAAGGCCAGGTAACAATAAAAGGGGTATCAGGGGGAGTATATGGATTTGGTCTTGGTTGTGTTGTGGTGATGATATAATGTCATGACTGTAGGACATAGCATTACTAACATTATGTCAGCGATGGCAACTTGGCTATAGTGCAATTCTGCCAAAAACATACAATAGTACCCTTTTATAAATAGAAAATGGATTTTAGATTATACATCATTATCAAATGAAGAAAGAGAGCTTAAACAAAATAATAATAATAATTTGTCATGTTCTATACTAATTTGAGATGTCCATGCTATGCTTCTAGACAGGCACCACAAGAACTAAAACAGGTCATACATTTTCATTAATACCTTAATAATGCTTATATTAATTGAAAAAATAAATATATCAATTACTATACCACATAGATAAACAAAAGTTTTGACCACATATTATTTTAGTATTATTAGAAAGATATATCAAAGAACTTTAAAACCATACCGTTGGACTCCTTCGCCGTGGCGAGATCTGGACCGTTAATGTCCTTGTAGTGCCTCTGGCAGTTTTAGGGCTCGTTCCATCGCGAAGAAAATGCGGTGCTTGGGGCACCTTCATATATCCGTGGTGGAGGGAAGGAATCTCTCTGTCAAGATCGATGCGCGGCCCTCTGTTTTGCTACAGATCGGCAAAGAACAGGTAAAATGCTGGTTATTTTTATCCGTCTCTAGAGTTTTGGATGATGGATTTCTTTCTCTAGGCTAGAACGGCGCCGCTCAAGAACTTAAGTTCCAAATGGCTAGCAGAGTTTAGACTGGATGTGGCGTCGGAGGACTCTTGCCTCACGGTAACAAGTTCTCTTCTTCTCCTTTTATTCGTGTTTCTATCTCCTTGATCTTCATAGGTGACACTTCTGGATGATCACTCCAGCCATCCAGTGGGAAAATCTCTCGTTCCCATCCGTGATCTAATCTCGATCGGGACCGCGGTTCAGTGGGTCACACTGAAAGATCCTTCCGGAAGAGATGTTGGACAAATATGTCTAGTTCTTCGGTTTCTCAAAGGTTTGCTCCATGGCAAAGCCAAAAACGATGGTTTTCTAGATTTTTCTTCTTCTCTTTTCAGAGATCAGTGACGTCAAGCGAGAGAACGGTGCCTCCATTCCCAGCGCTCACCACCATCTCCTAAATGGCGATGCAAACTCGGAGCTTTCGTCCTCCACCTCGTCTTTGTCGCGCGAAGATGACGATCAAGACGGGATCGTGCCACAGGACGACGATCATCGCTCCAAAAAGAAAGATCAAGCCAAGAACACGGGACGAAGCAAATACTTCGTCGTCGCTGCTACTGCCGCCGCGACGATCCTCCTCTCAGTTTTCGCCTGGACGAGCCACCAGAAACAAAAGTCCAAGTATCACGAGGTTCGTATCCTATACATCGTTTTCTTCGTGAGCTTGAGCTCTTCCTCTCCAGGTGAAAGAAGGTGATACGATGAGTTCTATCGCGAACAAGTATGGATTGTCCCCGGACGATGTTTTCGAAGCCAACATGAGCGTTACCAGCGATCCCGATAGGATCTATCCCGGGGACAAGATCTACATTCCATGAAGATCATTCTCGCAAGGTTTCCTGGAGAGATGGTAGTTTATCTAAGATCACAATGAGAACTTTCTTATAGCTCATGTTTGTGACCTTGAGTAGATCTAAGCAAGAAGTATCGCGCTTTGCGAGAGCGATCAAGCAGTGCCGCGACTCGCTCGATCCTCACAAGGGCGAGTTCGTCCACGCCCAGATCCTCGCCTCCTCCCACGCCAGCAATGTCTTCCTCTCTAATCTCCTCGTCGACATGTACTCCAAGTGTGGCCGCCTGGATCGATCGCTCCAGGTCTTCCATGCCGCCGAGTGCCGCAATGTTTTCTCCTGGAACATCATCGTCGCGGCGTTCGCCCATCACGGGCATCTGGGCGATGCTCGATTCTTCTTCTCTCGCATGCCGCAGGTGGGATCCGTGGCGGCCACCGTTGTGATCCTGGCACTTGCCGAGGAAGGGCATTTTGCCGAGGCCGAGAACCTGTACGGTTCCATGCCTGAGAAAGACACTGCGTCGATGAACGCGATGCTCAATCTGTACGGTAGAACTGGTGATGTTTCCCAGGCGCGAATTGTATTTGACGCGATTGAAAATCCGGACGTGGTATCGTGGACAAGCATGCTTCAGGCAAATGCTCTTTGCGGGCATTTGGAGGATGCGAAGAATCTCTTCAGCGCCATGCCGCAAAGAAACGACTACTGCTGGAACACTATGCTGAATGGATTTGCATCGCACGGGGACGTCACCACAGCCTGCTTGATCTTGCAAGTGATGCCGCAGCATAATGTCGTGTCCTGGACGATCATGCTCACCGCGTATGCCGAAAGCGGGCATCTTGCGTTAGCTTTGTCTGTGTTTGATTCCGTCCCGGCACGGACTGTGCGTTTGTGGAACGCGATGCTCGACGCCTGCGACGAGGTTGGCGAAGCCAAGTTTGTGTTTTGGAAGATGCCGTACTGGGATAATGTGTCCTGGAATACGATAATTGCCGCAATGGCACAGAGTGGATGCTTGATTGAGGCCCGCCGTACGTACGGGCAGCTTCTGGAGCCGGGAAACGAAGGCCCGATGGCGGTGGAAAGCCTCGTACGGAGAAAAGGTGGCGGCGAGGATGATAATACGTCGCTAATCAAGAGCTATGCCGAGTGCCGGCTTCTTCACGAGTGCGAGGTTCTGTTCCGGAACACGCCCGTCAGAAACGTTTTCACATGGACGGTTATGATCGCCGCTTTTGCGGAGACAGGCAATCTGGAATCGACGACGCAATTTTTCCAGAAAATGCCGGCGTGGAATGTTGTTGCCTGGAATATCATCGTGCAAGCAAATGCCCAAGAGGGGTATCTGGAGAAAGCGAAAGAGCTGTTTGACTTGTCATCGGCTCGAAATGTTATTTCCGCCAATGCCCTGATCGAAGCGTACGCAAGCGAGGAGAAACTATGCTACGCGTGCCGGATATTCGATCGTATGCCACAGTGGGATTCCTGGACGTGGGTAGCCGTTATTGGAGCATATGCCGGGAGTGGGAATCTTGGTATGTGCGAGAGAGTGTTCGCAAAGATTCCCGAAAAGGACGTGGTTTCGTGGACCGTGTTAATCCAGGCCTTCGCAGAGAATGGGTATCTTCACAGAGCGGAAATGGCATTTCGGCTGATTCCTTTCAGAAACTCCATCTGCTGCAATGTGATTCTCACGGCATATTCCCGGGAGGGGCATGACGTACAAGCAAAGGCCGCTTTTGATTCCATGCCGTACAAGAGCATCGCCTCTTGGAACATAACTATGACCGCCTTAGGTGCCGCATCTGCAAGTCAAGTCTTCAGGAATATGCCCCGGTGGAATGCCGTGTCCTGGAACACCGTCCTCGCAGCAAATGCCGCACAAGGGCATCTAGAAAATGCGATCGGCATCTTCCACGCCATGCCACTGTCCAACGCCGCGTCGTACAACTCCATGATCCAGGCGTATGGGAGCAACAGCCGGCCCATGGACGCCCGCCACGTGTTCGATTCCATGGACCAGCGCGACGTGGTGACGTGGAACGTTCTCGCCCAGGCATTGGCCGGGAATTTCCACGTGGACGAGGCCATGGTAGTGTTGGAAAAGATGCCCCACCACAGCCTCGTGGCGCTCAACTCGATGATCACGGCCCACGCCCAGGCCGGCCACGCACACGTGGCAAGGCACCTCTTCAAGAATATGCCCGCCCGGAACGTGGTGTCGTGGAGCGCCACCATTGGAGCGTACGCCCAGGCCGGGTATATTCCCGAATCCCTGGAGCTTGTACGGGCGATGCTCCTGGAAGGAGTGAAGCCAAACGAGGTGACTCTCGTGGCCATTCTCACCGGGTGTAGTCACTCGGGGCTCTTGCACGAAGCTCGCGAGCTCTTCTTTTTCATCACCAGAGATTTGGAGCTGCGCCCCTCGATCGATCACTACTGCTGCATTGTCGATCTCTTGGGTCGATCCAAGCAGCTCCACTTTGCCGAGGAGCTCGTCTCGAGCATGCCGTATCGACCGAATACCACCGTGTGGACGACTTTATTGGGAGCTTGCAAAACTCAAGGCGATTTCCAGCGAGGAGCTAGCGCTGCAAAACAGGCACTAGCACTGGATCCCGAGGGCTCTGGAGTTTACGTCCTTCTATCAAACATCTACGCTTCAATCCGGAAAGAGAAACATCTTACGGTGTTCTAGAAAGAAAAGCTCTCGTCTTCGTCTCTTCGTCTAAGTTTCTCGCGGGGTCGTCTCAATTGAGTTGCTGCGTCTGGAAAGATAGTTTTTTTTTCGGTTAGCATCCATTGGTAGTGTTACATACCTTCCAGAGTCCATCGTTGAGATAGTGCATATTGTCCACTCCAATCCCTTTGTTGATATTCTTTCTGCGAGAGTTTAAACACTTAGCTTGATTGTTTCCAAGCAAACCGGTGGCTCACATGTCGAGAGCAGACATTTTCGTGAAGCCTATCGCAAGCGCGTGCTGCTTGCCTTCCGCCATTATGGCCTAGAAATCACGAGAACACGAGTTTGAGAAGAAGCTATCTGTCAAAGAATCGTGAAATCGTACCACAGGTGCCTCGGCTGCCACACTTTCGTCCAAGCCACCTCCAGGAGATGTCAGTCCGGGACACATGATATTTGCTCCTGCGAGGACGAACTTGATGGCTCCTCTGTCAACTTGGAGCTTCTTCATCACGGTTGGGTCTGGAGATCACGAAAGCGAAAACCGTTAGCTCGTTTTCTCCTCATGCTACGAACTTGCATTGGTGGAGGAGCCTCAAGGTTGGCATGTAAGGACCGTCTCGGACGTTGAAGAAGAGCGGCACATTGTTGACGAGTATCAGGTTGACATGGTTCTGGCTGCAAATGTTTGAACCGCAAAAGGTTAGAAATGTCCGATTTAAGTAGCTTAGCTCACCATTTAGCAACGATGACCGGAGATTTTTTCGGCAGGATATCATCAAGCACGGGCTCCAACTCTGGATACTACACAAACAAAACAAAGTTTGTAGTTTCGGAAAGAAATACTCGAGAAAGAACTTTTTCTTTTACCTCTTCAGCAACGCTTTGCCGGATTTTTCTTTGAACGGAGGCTTTCACCTGATTCTGCGCGGTTACCTCTTCCTGGCTAAACCTGATACACACAAAAAACATACACAGTTAACTTCCATTTCCAGGAAACATTAAGCAAGAAAGACCACAGAAGAAAAGAGAGAGAGAAATAAAAAAACATGCGTAGAAAAAAAGTCCATCGTACTTACTTCTTAAACATTTCGAAGCTGGAGCCTGGAGAGCAAAAGAAAAATAAATCACATCGAAGAAAGGAAAAAAAAAAAATCAATCACAAGTTCACAACACGAAACATCCTAAACAAGAGATAAACTTAACTACATTCATTCATAGTTAACAAAACAGTCGGGCAAGAAGAATCGAGGAGCTAACAGCCAGCGCAATCCGATAATCCGATCGAAAAACTCACCGCGATCGCGTGCGCAGCAGCAGCGGCCGCTCCTCAGCTCCTCGGATCGAGCACTGCGATGGATCGAGCGGGGAAGAAAGGGGGCTTTATAGCGCACCCTAGGGTATATAAAGCCCCAATGCGCAGTTATAAGCTCTAGGTCGAGAGATATATAAAGGGTTTTCTGTCGTGAGAGTTTGAGCTCCGCCATCGCGCCTGGAGCTGCGAGAGGGAGGGAGAGAGAAGAAAGGCGCGCGCGCTAGCGACTGGCGAGGGAGATGGGCAGCTTGGAGCTCTATCGCAAATCCACCATCGGCATAGGCCTCACGGATGCTCTGGACGAGATGGTAACGAACGGCAGCATTCCTCCTCTTCTCGCCGTGCGTGTGCTCATGCAGTTCGACAAAGTAAGCTTCTCTTCCTTTTTTTTTTCTTTGTGGAATGAGATGAGATCTCAGTTTTCCATTGGGATTTCTCTTGTTTTTTCGTTAGTTGTAACTTTTCTTTTGCTTTGATCGAGTGAGCGTTTCGTGTTCTTCTTGGCTGCTTGATCGAATTGAGTTTTTCACTGGGAATTTTGGCTTAGTTGTAACTTTTCTTTTGGTTTGATTGAGCGTTTCGTGTTCTTCGTTTTTGGTTCCCGTTACTAACTCGATTGGTTTTTTTTTTTTTTTTCCCTTTCCTCCTTGGATCCTTACAGTCGATGGGTGAGGCACTGCAGAGCAAAGTGCGAGCTAAGACGACCTTCAAGGTCTGTAAATTAGCCTCTTTTCTCCATAATTTTTTCACAGAGAAAGCTTTTCTTGTGGCTCTGATTTTTTTTTTTCTTTCGTTCGCATTGCTTGAGTGAACACGAATTCTTCATGTTTTTTGGTTTTTTCATGTTTGTTTTCCTTGTTCTCTTGTTTTTCTTTGGCAGGGCCACTTGCGCACATACAGGTTTTGCGACAACATCTGGATCTTTTTGCTGGAGAACGCGACGTTCAAGACGGATAACGAGGTCCAGCATGTGGATCGGGTGAAAATCGTTGCCTGCGACGCCAAGATCCTGGCCCGGCCAGCATGAAAACCCCATGAAGGCACGAATGATAATATCAAGTAAGTCGTGAAAGGCAAAGCTCTTAGCATTTTGTATTATGGAAGCAGTCTGAATGAAAATCATGAACCAGGGACACTCTCGTTTCGTGATTATCTAGTTTCTAGCTGATACAATGTGGAATCATTGCTTAACGGATAACTATATGGTAGCAAATAAATCAAGGGCATTGTCATGCATTGCTCTTGTAGATCCCACAAGATGGAACCCCAAGACCTTCTAGGAAAAGAACTTCCGCTCAAACCACATTAAACATCGTGGAAAAAAGAACCATGTCGAGAAAGTCTAAATTGTTTATTCAAAGAATTCAACCAAGCAACAAATCTAATTAGCAGCATAATTACTGCAAGGTATAATTCATACATTTATCAATTGTTTAGACCGCGCCATGCGACCGGAGGAGGCGATCTTGACAGCCACCATTCAGTTCAGACTTGAAACAGTTAATCCAATACTTATAATAATACGATTACAAAGACATCGTGCATGAAAACATCTTCTAAAATTTGAATATCGAGAAAGTTCCATGGATTGTTTATTTAAAATATAGAAAGTCTGTTACAAATTCACTTGCAACACATTGTCACAAACCCAGATAAGTCATCGAAGAACCGATCCAACGCCGGCGATGGAGGCCCCAAGTAGAACGCATGGGCGGCATCCTCGTATTCCACGACCTGGACGTGCTTGTTTGCCCCCTGTAGACGTCGTGCGACCTCTACTTGCCTCGCGTACAAACAATCCTTGCGCCCAATCGCCATGAAAATTGGCGCCATCTCTGCCGGAACTCGATGTTCATCCAGGAACTTGGGCTGGTTGCAAAAAGGATGATCGCGATCGGCCCCAATTGGGAGCGCGAGCTTCCAGCAGAGATCCGAGCTCTCCATGGTGAGGATCTCGCCGTTGGCAAACTCCACCTCCGAGTCCTTGCGATCCATGCCGCCGTAGAAAGGCTGGACGAGGACGACTCCCACGACTTTGATCGTGGGATTTTTCGTTTCCTCGACGTTCTTGAGCTCCTGGCGGAAGAACCAATCCAGTGCCGAGTGTTGGGCGATGTTTCCCCCAGCGCTATCGCCCGAGATGAAGACACGGGATAAATCGCCGTGGGAGCGAATCCAATCCTCGCCCAAGCACTGTGGTTCTTGGAGCCATTGCAGAGTTCTAGTGGCGTCTTGGTACGCTGCCGGCAGCCGGTGCTCGGGAGCGAGCCTGTAATCCACAGAGACCACCAGGGCTTTGAGACTTCTCGCCATGGATTCGCAGAAATAGTGGAAAAATTGGAACTTTGGTGTGAAAACCAGGAATCCGCCACCGTGGAAGTAGACGAACACTGGCAGCTTCGAATCGTGCTCGCATTCCGGGAGGAAAATCCGTGCCGAGAGGCCTGAAATCTCGTCAATCACAATGTCCTTGGACGCGACACCTTGTACAAAGTGAGGAATTGCTGGGATGGATTCCAAAGGCTGCCTGGTGGCAGCAAAGTCGTCGTAGTTTGGATCATCCTTGTTGTCGATGGGAAGCCCCGGGAGAGACGCCTTAATCCAGTGGAGTAGCGCCATAGCTCTCTTCCTTTCTTCTACACAACAGCTTCAAATGATCTATCCCTCTCCAACTCTGAATGTCAAAAACCTTTACACACCGTCCCACCCAGCTCTGAATGTCAAAGACCTTTACACCGTTGGAAACAAGAATTTCTAATCTAAAACAAATGCTGGGAATTTAAGTTTATTTTTGCTGTTAATTATGACAAAGTCTTAATTTTTTAAAATTAGAACACAAAGAATATTTTCAATTCATTTACAGCTAGCGACGAAATGCAGTTCAATGTATTGTATGCCATGCAAAAATAAAAAAATAAAAAATACATGAACATATTGTGTAAAAACTTCATCATGATAATCCTTGAACTATGTCTTATGGTGAAGTGAGCATTTCTTTGTTGAGTTGTAGCTAACGTAAATCACATTGCCGATAGCAAATTATAAGACCCCCATGAAAAGAAGAAAGAATTGAAAATGACGATCGTGCGATGAGAGACCGGGATTGCCAGCTCTGAGAATTTAAAAGATGATGTCTTAAAGGTGTGTTTACTGACCCAATTAAACATTAGCCAAGTGATCCCTTTCACTTTTTTGGTTCAGTTCCTTGTGAGTTCTTTTCCATTATGCTTCTCAAAAATTACCCCCAACAGTGAGCATGATGATGAGAAGTAACCTCTCCATAGTCTGCTGGTCACTTCTCGATCTGAGAAATCATCAGATCATTTCTGCCACTGATGATCCAGAAATCATCAAATCACCAAGCCACATTTGATGATTTCTCCAAGCTCTTGGGAAGGCGGGGTTGATTGTGTTCTGGATGCATCCCTGCCCGACTCATCCTACGCTGTGCACGCCCTTGACTAGACATGTTTTTCTGGGTCTGCTAGCGCCCATCTGGAGGCATAAAACCAAAGGGACCAAGTACCTGAGCAGGAGGTATGAAGGCTGGAGCCTACTGGGACTACGTGACCGTCAGGAAGAACTTGTTGGTGGGCGACCGCAAGGATTTGATGTTCTATCTGCAAATTTTTCCTAGAATCGTCCAACAAAGAGTTCTTTTCTAGAGGTGTCACAGATCAAGTGGCTAGCAAGGTGTTCTTGCCATAGGATAGTGAGAAAAACAATGTTAAGAAGTAAAACGTTTAAATGTTTACACCCACTGCCGGCAGAAGACCCCGAAGACACTTGTTGGGGTTTGAATCTGCCCCGCCTGCGGCACACCAGCCGTTCACTCTCGTGTACCAACACCCCCAGCACAAGACGAAGAACACATAAACCTTTGTTAGCCATTGATTACGTTATAAGATTTAATTTCAACCATTTATTGAGAATATTCTCAAGAAGCTAAAATAATTAGTGATAATTAGGTTTTCTTAAGAAAAATGAATCTTAATGTTGTGAGGGCCAAGTATACGGTTATGATGCCGTATACTAATATTAGTGTAGTGGGATTTTGGTAGCCGTCGGATTGGTTTCAATCTGGACCACTCGCTCCTGTATATAAGCTAGGGTTTTTGGGCTAATTGATATGCACATTTCTGTATTCCCTTTCCATATTCCAGGCACTCACATTAGTGGAGGTGAGGGGCACCTTTGATTGTCCCTGAGGAGTGCTTAGATTTGGGATTTTGGTTTAGATCTAGCTTTTGTATCGTCTAGATCTAACTTTTTCCATTTCCTTTCTTTTGTTCTTTCTTTTGGTTTAGATCTAGCTTTTTGCGTTGTCTAGATCTACCATTTCCTTCTAGCTTTTTGTCATCTCTCTTCTTTTGCTTTTTTTTTTTCGTTCATCTTCATGGCAGATCAGCAATCTCCTCCTTTAACTCTAGAGCAGCAGTTGGTACAATTGCTTGATGCTATGCGCTTGCAATTGAACAACCAAACTCAGTTGATGGCGGCGTTCACGGCACGTGGTACAACTCCTCCTGCTCTTGGTGCTAATCCTCGCGTTCGGCCAGAGTTCTTTCGCGGGAATCCTGGGGATGATGTGTACCATTGGTTCAATCACTTCACGGTAATTGCCACATATCATTCTTGGGATGATGCTCGACGTTTGCGTGAGTTTCCCACGTGTCTCCAAGGGACGGCGTTGCAGTGGTACAATGGTTTGAGCGCAGCCACTCGTGGGGATTGGAGTGTTCTCCCGGACATCTTCAAACGCGCCTTCGGACATGCCGATGATTGTGATGATGCTTTCCAACAATTGCATCGTCTTCGCCAAGGGCCATCTGAGTCGGTGATGCAATTTGGCGTTCGTTTCCGAAGTCTTTTACTTCGTGCGGAGCCAAATATGTCGGAGCGGATCAAGCTAGGAATGTTATGGCCAGCACTTCGTCAAGATTTTGTCGGACTTGTGCATGCACTTGCTCCTGCCACTCTTGACAATGCTCTTCACTTGGCACAACGTTATGAGACGTCGCCTCTTCCACTTCTCGCTGCACGTCCTTCCGCTCCACTTCCTATGGGTGATGGTCCTGTTCCAATGGAGGTTGATGTTGTTGCTGCTCGAGTCCAAGGACAAGCGCGAGGACGTGGTCGTGGCCGTGATGTTCACTGCTGGGCGTGTGATGAAGTTGGTCATACTTATCGGCGTTGCCGTCGTTTTCCGGATTGGCGACCTCCATTTCCTGGGTGGAGACCTTGGCGTCAGCAACGTCCCGTGGGTGCTGCTGCAGTGGAAGGTCTGGACACCGAGATGCATCCGGGAAACGAGGAGTCGCGCGAGTAATGGAGGGACCTTGCGCAAATAAATCAGTGACCCCTCCATCTTTCTTTCGAGAGTATCATCAAGGGGTTCACTCGGCACCGGTTCATCCCGTGTTTACTTTCCAAGCTCGTTTTTATAACAAGAGGTCTCTTATTATTCTCTCCGTGTTGGTTGATACAGGTTCGAGTTTATCTTCTATTGCTCGACCTATTACCACACGTTGTCGTCTACACTTGCGTCGTGCGGCAGAACCAGTTTTCATTCTTTATGGCAACGGTCGTACACATGCATGTGCATGGGATGAGGTGGACCTGGTTGTGCGTGTGGGCGATCTCGAGCTTGAGTTGCAGTCGTTGCGGGTGGTGCTGAGTCAAGCTTTTGAACTCATTCTTGGTATGGATTGGTTGCAGCGCAATCATGCCAAGTGTGACTTTGAGGCTTCTCCCCCTTGTCTCATCCTTCCTTATGTTTCATCCATTCCTCTCACTTCCATACCTCTTCGTCCCTCTACTTTTACCTCTGCTTCCATTACTTTTGTTCCCCCACTTTTTCCTTCTGTGTTTCCATCTTGTTCTGCTTTTCCCTTTTCCGATCCCTCCGACGATCTTTGTGTTGCAGCAGTTGACCGGCTCATGACGGAGTATTCTAATCTCTTTGAATTTGACATATCGTTTGGGGCCAAGATTGCCACACGTCATCCGATTCCAACTGGGGATGCTCGTCCAATCAAGGTTCCTGTTCGTCGTCGGTCACCTAAGGAGATCAAGATTTTACGAGCCAACGTCAAGGAAATGCTGGAGAAGGGTGTTATTCGGAAGTCGCAGAGTCCTTGGGCATGTGAACC